TTGGTTTCATGACATTGTAGCCTCTTAGATCTGTCAGGACCTTGGTTTCTGTCCCGTCATCACACACGTGTGGAAAATCGGGCTCCGAGGGGTTAAGTCAGGCCCAGATTTCCTGCCCAGTGTAGTGAAAGCTGCACGGGATGAGGACGGAATGGAGTTTGGCAAGTTCACCTTTCAGAGCTCGGTCTCCTCATCTTCGTAGAGGTGACGATAGTGCTTCCCTCGTGGAACAAGTGAATGAAAGTTTCCAGAACAGTAGTCCGGCACACGAGCATTCAAAACACGCCTTTAAAACCCTTCGCCATCTTAAGGTTGAAAAGTTGTCGCTTTGCGTTAATAAATACTTTATAGCTGATGTTCTCAGCATTAATATGGATTTGGGCTCTTTCGGTGCTTGCGTGTATTTGTATGTATGTCAAGCAACTCGATGCTATTGAATGAAAGAGCTCAAATATATACTTAACCAGGCTGAACACACAGCGTGCTTTATAGCTCGCCGTCTGCCGCATTACTATATTTTGTAATAGTTTATTTGTTGGCCTGGCAGTTTGGGGCCCTTGCCAAAGCTATGTGTAGCATTTCAGGTTTTCTGTATCCCTGTAGAGGGGACAGCTGTGATCTGAACTGGGTTTTTGTTTTTTGCATTCCCGTGAAGCTTATTTTCCTTACTTGTAAGTGTTAAAATTTGTAACTTTCTGCTCTGCACAGATCGTTTGGTTCAGAACAACTAAATCGAATGCAATATGCTAAAGCCAAGTATTTTTTTAATGTTTATGTATACAATTTGCAGTTGCTCTTTGCAGAAATAGAGCAGTGTCATCCGTGTTTCTGTCCCCCAGCTTCAGTCATCCACTCCGGCAGTTTCGTTTTTAATCTCACCCTTCCTACTGCTTCTCACTCCACCCATTCGATGATTTGGAAACAAATTTCAGGCATTATTTTTTCCGTAAACATTTCAGCACGTATATCTGAAAGATAGACTCTTTAAAACATAACTACAATGCCATTATCACCACCTTAAAAAAGTAGTTCGTTCTTAAGAAAATCAATGTACCCATCAGTATTCACATTTCTCGGATTTTTAAACCAAGGATTAATCAGGTCGATTGTAGATACTGCCATTCTGCCAAATGGCTTTGGGGTAGGAGATTTCTCATAGTTGAGGTACGTGAGGAAGCTGTTTAAATGTGAAACTAGAAACATAAAAATGCTCTTATTAATGGATAGATTTAAAAAGTGAAGTTAATGTATTTTGGCCTTTTTTGAGCTTTTTACCATTTTTTCTATATAATGTATCTTGGTAATTGACAAGGGAAATCAAATGCTAGTAGTTTACAACTCTTGTTTGGTGGAAGGAGGGAGGGTTCTTGAGAGAGATTAAGTAAATAGGAAGTAATGTATTTTAAGGAAGTGTTTTCTATGTTTTAAACCATATTATTTAAAGTTGGGTTATATTGCAATCCTTGTCAACCTATGACACAGCTTATGTTTTTTTAAGCATTAAAAAAACAGATCGAAGTCAATTTTGAATTGATTTTTAAGTGTAGTTTACAGAAGCGTAATACTTCTAAACCTGTTATTACCAGTTTTGATTAGGGTATTTGAAAATTGGTGTAAAATTTTTTGTCACGTTTTCCAAGGGTGATGTCTGGTCTCGATGTTATTTATTGGGTCCTTTCTGGCCCTGTTTTAACTTAGCCTCATTTGCTCTGAGATCTGTAGCTTTTCAGTTTAGTTTTGGGGGGTGGGGGTGTGGGTGAGGTGAAGGGGGGGTATGTGAATGAGTATAAACAGCTAAAGATAAAGAACTGTATTAGGATAAATAGTAACAGTTCTAGAAAATTCTTTCACTGGACTTGATTTGTGAATCAATTGCAGGAATTGTTAAAAAAAGTGAAATTTATTCCCGGATCGGCCCAGAATGCCATGGTCGAAATGATGGACAGGCGGCCGTATTGGTGTATATCACGGCAGAGAGCTTGGGGCGTTCCGATCCCTGTGTTTCATCATAAGACGAAAGATGAATTCCTGATCAACAGGTAGAATTTCCTAAAGTTTTTCAACATTTTAAAGCAAGTTGTGTTTTCTCGAAGTGGAAAAACAGTAGACTATTGAGAGCTGATATATGTTCAATAAAATATTCTGAAGTAATCTTTAGCTGGGATAAAATGTAAATTTCAAAAAAAAAAAAAGATCCTTTCATATGATTGAAATTTTAACAGCTATAGTTTTTCAATATTGATACTTAGACGCAGAGACTTTCAATTTTTTTTTTTTTTTTAATGAGACTTCCTTGTTCCTGGCTGTGTGCCTGGCATCGTGCTGGAGTAAGGTAACAGGAATCCAGAGATGAGTAGTAGTTAGTGGGGGGGATCTCGGCGTGTAATTTTTCTTTAGGAAATGGAGTCCCTCTCTTACTGAGCGTGCTCCCCCTCCCGTAGTGATGGCATCATGTGATTGACTCCATGACTTAAAATCTAAGAAACTATAATATAGTTAAATGTACAAAATTACATTTATTTTAGTGGTGATCACATTCTCAATTGTTTTTCCTTAAGTTTTTTTCATTTTAAATTTGGAAGGATAATACATAGACATAGTAAACAGTTCAGAGTAGAAAAGCTTGTACAGCGACGAAATTTTTGAGGGCACGGAGGCCGTCAAGTAATGGGGTTCCAGAGACTGTAGACCGAGTTGCATTCCCTCCCTTGGAATGACAAGCCAAACGTGGCTCGTCACGTTTGGAAAAAGGTTCTACTTCTCATGGTCAACATTGTCGGATTTCTTTAGGTGGTATATTTGGGAAAACATGTATTTCAGAGTGTTTTAAAATGTTGGTTAAAGCGGTTTTTCGTTTGTTTTAATTTAATCGCTTATAGCCACATATTAGGTAGTTTGGCATCTTTTCTGTGACGGTTCCTTTTCAATTGGAAATATGTCGTATCACTGCTTGGTTGTCGCTACCTGGGTGATGTGACAGCTGCGGCAGCGTGTCTCAGGGAGGAACTGGAGGCTGCGCCTTGGCAGATGTTGGACCATAGGACAGCTCATCCTCTCCCCTTGCAGAGGCTGCGGCATTCGAGTGAGGCCTTGTGGGTCAGGGCGGGATCCGCAAGAGCTGAGGACCGGGCGGCAGGAAGGCAGAGCATGCGCGTAGGAGCCGTAACGGACTGTAGGGTACATGAGGGGGAATTTCAGAAAGATGAACACGAAGAAAGAGCGGCTGGGACAAACTGTAGTGACACTCGAATACCAGGTTGAGGAATTCAGACTTCGGGCGTGAGGAGGAAGAGTATGTTTTACAATTTGGAGCCGAGACTCTCTGGCCTAAATAGCGTTGCTTATGTTTTTTTTTAAATTGAGAGCTTGATCCTATATGCAGTGCTAATACCTTAACACCTCTAAGAATTAAAGTTGAGATAAATTCACACAAGTGGTGTTTAAAATCCCACCCTGGAAGTTTTTCCGTTAAGGAATGTTTACAAGCCTTTGTCAGTGTTTCTCTTTCTTTTCAGTATTAAGAGAACCAGTTTTTCTTAGGGAATCTTCTTGAATCGAGGTAGACCATACGTACATATTAGTCAGTAAAGCAGACTGGTTCATCTGACCATCATTTAATCATGACAGTAAAATGCAATATGGATCGATTTCTAAGCTAGTGAAAGAAATGCGAGCTTTGTACCATTTATGTTTTATTTATGCTCCGTTCATTGACATGGTCGTTACATTCTGTGTTGTTTGCATGGTGTTCTTCGGTTTCTGATTTTGAAGTAACAAAGATATACAGAATATTGGCCTATAGAAATGACAGACACACTTGACTATACTGTCTGTCGATTCATAGGTCATTTTCCTGTGCACCATTCATTAGTTCACGACTTAGCTCCATACACAGATGACAGGGAGAGACCACAGACAGAGGCCGCCCACTCCAGGTTGGTAGGTGGCAGGCTGACAAACCCAGGAACTTAACTTACGGCTCGTCTTGGGCAACCACAGGACGAGAGCATCTCCGTATCTGCTGCCACGTCTTAGAAGTTGGTGACGGAGGCCTTCACTCGGTTCAGGCACATAAAGCATCCAGAGGGTCTCAGCAGCTCCATGCGATCACGGCTGTGTCACCGAGCAGCTTCTCACACAGGAGGGCAAGGGGAATGCATGTTCCATGGACAGGGAGGGGGCGAAGAGCTTTCGGTCAGTCACATCCTGTGACCTCTCCTCCAACACCGTGGCTCAATGTTGATTAATCTTCCATTGTCGGGTCTTTTATGTGACATGACACTTGATTTAAGAAAATGGATGTTAATTCCTAATTGTTTGTCAGTTTTTTAGGACAGCATGAAAGCTTACCTTTTTTCCTTATTCACATGAATCAAGTGACCCCGATTTTCTGTCTGTCTTGGACATGCCTTTTTATTGTAGTGAGTTGGTAACCATCAAAAGTAACAGCATCTCCACTGGAAGTTGGTACACAGCCCACATGGAGTTGCTGTTACACTCGATAATTCCAACAAGTGCATCAAGATTCCTTCAGCTTTTCCTGATGAAAGTCTGTAAATACTCCTACTGTACTTATTTCACAGAAGAAAATCTTCCTTTGTTCATGTTCTAAATAAGTTCAGAGGTTGACATATTTGCAACAGTTTAATTTTGATTTGAATTAATGTTCCCATTTGCACTTTATATTCACACTTGTATTTTCTCAGTTCCACGTGTTTTTGACATCATTGGTCACTTTTCTGAATCTGTTACCTATTTTAATTCAGGTGGAAATTGATTCCTAGTAAATAAAGACAAAATAAGTCTTTTTGCATAAAAAGGTAAAATACAGAAACACTTGCTACCTAGGAAAGAAAAGAAGTTAAATTTTTTTCACCATCTCAGATGATTGTAATTCATTTAACAATATTAATATAATAGTTAACATGTGCTTAGCTCCCAATTTCTGGACTTTATAAGAAATTTACTAGAAATAGGCAAGGGATTTCCAGTCTAATTTGAGTGTAAACTTTAGCTACCTCAAATTTTTGTCATGTTAATACTCTTTAAATAAAAGTTTCTCCAAGACCATTTTCTGTCACTCCAGTATAGTATTCAATTAGAAAGTTTCCTCAAATTTCAGTGTGTTCTGGAATTAAATTTAGTAAATAAACAAAACATTTAGCCTCTTACCTCACTCTTCTTCCAGTAACTTACAGAAGATGAGTTGTCTCACAGTCCTTAATATTTTTGCTTTTATAAAGACAGAACGCAGGAAACGTTGGGATGACAGCAGCGGTTTCTTCATTACCAAGTAACCCTCAAGCTCTTCATTTCCAGGACCTCGCCGCATCAGCGGTCAGCCTGTGTCGCTTCCGAGTCCACGATGACTGGCTGGTGTTAGAGTTGCTCCGGCTACCTAATGGGTTTCACTGCTTGAAACATAAGGGACACGTAGTGCATGTGTTGAGATAAGGCTCTTGCGTAAAGTGCAGAGTTTTATGATGGACTTATTGCTTTATGAAATACACCATTAAAATGGAAGCGTATAGATTATGGAGTGATAAGTGGTTTCACTTTTGTCAACCATAATTTACCCTGATCTTAAGGTTATAAATTAACTAAGATAGGAGATGATTAACAAAATTTCTGAAATTTCCAAAGACAGATTTTTGACTTCTTCCATTTTTTTTCCTGAAGAATAATTACTAACACTAAGAAATGCCTATAAAATTGTTTTAAAAAATTTCAAAGCATGATCTCAGTTCGTTAGAAAGAAATTACCCTTTTAAGTATTTATCTCAGAGAAATAAGAGACCTGATGTTTTATACAAAGATGCATATATAAGGATGCTTAATACAGTTGTTTATAAACAACTGTATAATTAGATAATTACATAATAAATTTTTTAAAAAGTCAATTTTAGAAGAATGAATTTGCAGCCATTAAGCATGGGAGCTCAGCTTTTAATGGTTGCCTGGGTCCCTGTGTATGAAAATCAAATAAACGTAGCCCATCCAGTATTTGGCTATTTCTTAGTTTTGCTGTCGCGCTATAATGAATATCTTTCGAGCACTTGCGCAGCCTTTATTTGTATTTTTTCCAAATTATCTTTTCAGATTTTGTTCGAACATTAAGTTTCTTCTGCAATCCAGCAAACCTCAAGTTTGTAGGTCGAGTGTGTTTATTTTCACTTCGTTTGTTTTTTAATTTTGTTTTAAACTTTCATTTAAAAAATATAAGTAATATAGCTGTCTAAGATTTCAGAATAGTATGGAGAAAATGGAGCAATTACAACTCAAATGTCAGTGTGACCGGAGGCGGTGGACCAAACGCGGTGGGGTTTTCTAGTTGCCTTAATGTTCCAGCTGCAAAAGGAGAATCTTTGTTGTTGGGTATTTTCAGTTATAGATTCAGACTCTGGAGTATAGTTTACTAGTACTTAAAATGTAATGCTAAATCTTCATTGAATTATCTGCTACTTGAGGATCTAAAAAAGAACTGTCTCTTTAGGGTTAGATTTGGCATTCTAAACTGAATGTGTATCATCTAGTAAATTATAGTTTTAAGTTACTGACTAAAATATTAGGACTCTTTTCTTCATAAAAGTTTTCACGTAGCCCTTTTTCTCACAGCTGTTCCCTGTGTTCATAGAAACCAGCTCAGCAAAGTAACATGTCGTTTTCCTGTCGTCTAACAAGTCACAAGCAGAGGCCGAGCTTCGGACTTGGCGCTTGTTCTGTCAACGCCCTAATCTCCGGAGCCTCCTGGGGCCCTGCCTTCCTCTCTGGGCCATGGTTTCATTGCGACCTTGGTGATGGGAGTCTTTTTGCCTTTGCTTATTAGCAAACGGGAGAAACTAAGAGTTTGAGCTCACGGTTACGGCGGTCGTCTCTCTAGATGAGTTAGGCTGAACGGAGAAGTCAGAACAGGCTTGAGCCGTGATTCAGGAGCCACGTTCCAGGCCTGGCTCTCTGCGTTACTCACTTAGGCTCGTGGCTGTTAAGGAATCTCGAGGCACAGAACAGTTGACCTATCAAGAGCTACCTAATACGTTTTTCTGTGAATCCAATTAACAACTGCTTGTGAAGGGCTTTGAAAAGTATGTGTACACAAAAGTGGTGTACTCAAAAATGCTTTTATTTTGATGAATAATATTGGGCCTAACATTTCTACCTCATTTTCTCAATTATGAAATGTGAACCATTCGCATTGACTTTTGTATTTTATTTCCAACATATTTAAGACTTTGACTACTTTACTGAAATTACAATCTAATAACATTCTAAAAATAAAAAGGCAAATGACACTCATTTTGAGACTCGTTCTTTTTGATGAAAATGTCATAATCGACATGAAAGCATATGGACCGATCGCGTGTGTGTGTAAATGTAATTTGCTGATGTCTCTTTCTCAGTTCTTAGTAGCATTGGTTTATTTCAGTTTTCTATTATACTGTTCGTATTTTCTTAACTGATAAAATGTTCTCTGCGACTGCATAAAATAGTAATAAGTAACCAAATATTGTCATATAATTAGTTATTACACACAGTTTTTATGGTCTCATCACAAGAGTTTATCTTTACTGTGAAAGTCCAGCTAAAATGTGTGGTTGTACTAGGAATGTGGACTCGTGCCCCTTTTGACATTCTCGTTTATCATTTCTTCAAAAGAGATGCTGGTAGCATTATACTTTTCAGTCTGTCCTTCATAGTATACCAATTTAGCAACGTTTTGCTATCGTAAGGTATTTAAAATTTCAGTGTATAGAGCATATTTAATTTATAATACCTATTTGACTTTTGCTTTCTACTTTTTTTATAAACATTTCATTTTATCTGAATTATCAGACCCAGGGAAGCTAAGTGATTCACCCTACGCCATCATGATTTAAAAGTAGATCCAGATTAAGCATTTAAAGCTTTTTCCTGTCCATTACTCTCTTCATGAGAGATCAGCTCTCATGGACCTACGGTTTGTTCTTAGTTACTTGCATTAATGGAGCATGGTAGAAAGGATAATACAGAAGTTAGATTTAGTATATGTATTTTAATTAATTTAAATATTAATATGGGTATGTGTTTGGTAATTAGTTAACAAAGTTAACTGTCTAAATTTACCTGACTTCAGAGAATCGGTTAGAATAATAGTTAATGCTTACATAAGTCTTACTAATGGGTACCAGACACTGTTTAGGCATTTAATATATAAGCTTGATTAATATCCATAATAGCTCGCTTAATGATACTATTTGCATTTTACAGGCCAGGTACAGAAATGTTAAGTGCTTAGCCAAGAGTCACATAGCTAGAAGGTGCTGGACCCAGGAGTTAAACCCAAGCTGACTGGCTCCAGGGCCCATGCTCTTGACCATTATCTATACAGTGACTCAGTGGATAGCAACAGAGGAATTTGTAATGTCAATAAAGTTGTGACAATAAAAGTATGTTGTTCCTGTGAGAAAACTTAGTATAAATTCCCCCCTTAGTTTAATTTCCAAGTAACGTATAATTCTGTCTCTTCCCAAAGAAATGAGTTTCACTATTCATTCGATAAGCATTTATTGGCTTTCTGTTGTGTTAGGCACTGTGATACGTTTTACACGAATCATCTCATTTAGTTGGCCGTCATTCGAAGGGAAGGGTCTGGGATCACTAAAATATAAGTGCCATTAGGGCAGGAATCATAGCTGCCTTGTAATTGCTTTGTCTCCAGTGCCTGGAACAGTGTCCAAGACGTTGGAGGAGCTCAGATATTTTGGAACAAATGAGTTGTACAGCCGCCAAGAGTTAGAGAAGTTTGAGCATTCGTGCATGGTCACGTGTTAACAGTGGGAGCGAGGACATGAGCCTGGGTATCTTGTCAGAAGCTACGTTCCAGTATGGCATTGCTCTTGGGCAGAGCTGGACCCAGTCCTGTGAGCAGTGAGGCACTGGAAGTTTCTGAGAGGGGATTAGTGTAATGCAGTTTTATAAATGCAGCTCTCTCAAAGCTGTGTCATGAAATTAAAGGGGTGAGAATTGGGGAAAAGTCAGACCATTGCATCAGTCTAGTATCGACGCAGTGAGGTTGGACTGATGGTATTAGGACAAAGAACAGGTTTCAAGGATAGAACTGTCAGAATGTGGTTTAATTTGGGCAGAAATTGGAGTGGGGAGATAGTTAGGTTTGGAATATAGGTACCAAGTGGAAAATAGATCAACAGAAGTAGGGAAATCAATAACTGAAATTGGGATCTCAGGAGACATCTTTTTTCTTCTTTTAAAGGATACATATGATTTATTCTATTCTCGAGATACTGGTATTATTTATATTGAATTTAAGATGACAGCCAAGGAAGCAAGTCATTGAAGATACTACCATAAAGTTTGGGGGGGGAAAGATAGGAAAAATGTCCTGCAGTAGGAAAAAAATATTCCTATTTCGTAATTGTAACGTGTTTGGTGCCCGCGCAGTAGTTTTCTGAACAGTTCTATCTTGCCCTCCTCCCCCCCAAAACAGCCAGACCGTTGAGCATATTATTAAACTAGTGGAACAACATGGCAGTGACGTGTGGTGGACGCTGCCTCCTGAGCAACTTCTTCCAGAAGAAGTCTTATCGCAGGTGAGTTTCTCTGTGTATCCAACAGTCTTTGTGCTTATTGCATGACTTAGTAACGACAGGAAGGATTCTTGGGAGTTAAGAAAGTAGTTCCATTATTACGTAGTCAATGAGTTTGTCCACTGCAAATTACGAGCTAGTGCATTTTGAGAGTCGACATTTTCGTTTAGCCGGAGAAGCTTGACATTTAATACAGCAGCAGAGGGAGAGGGTTATTTGTCCTCAGTGAGGGACAAGATTTTAACTGATGAGGTGTAATCGTGACCGCGAGAGAACAGCGTTGGTACATCAGGACCTCGTAGGATCTGAATTAGAGTTAACCGATTGCATCGTACGCCAACAAATCCAAATTGGAAGATACTTTTAAGAAAGTAAAGTGTTATTAACATTAATAAATATGTCATTAAGTGGCCATAGTCACTTTTACATGCAAATGAGCCGGTCGTACTTAATTGAAATGTCTTTAAATGTTTTAAATTTTATTTTAAAATGTGAATGTAATGATTGTAAGTATTTCGTTTCCTCAGGACTCTTTGGGGTATTTATTGTGTACGTTCTTAGCATAATTAAAATGCCTTTACATTGTCTTCCTAGGTTGGCGGTCCCGATGCCTTGGAGTATGTGCCAGGCCAGGATATTCTGGACATCTGGTTCGATAGTGGAACTTCATGGTCTTACGTTCTTCCAGGTAATTTTAAATAATACTTTACATGCCAGTTAAGCAGTTTTAAAAATACATAAATATTACTTAGAAAAAAAACTGTAATCAAGAACTCGTTTATTTTTTGCTTAATTTGAAAGATATAGTGTAATTTTGATGTGGAAGGACCTCCAGAGATCATTCAATCCAATGATTTTTAAACTTTTTTTTCCAAATGAAATTTTGTATAGAACCACAATCCGTAAGATAGATGCAAATGAGAATATTGTCCCTCCTCTTAACCTCCTTGGCCCATCTGGCAACCTCAAGGCACCCAGTTTGTAAAACAAAGTTTGGAATTCACCGAAAGGGTTTGACCCCAGCATTTTTCAGAAGAGGAAATGCGCTTGATTAGAGGCACATTAAGGTGATGCACAGTGTAGAGTCAGACTAGAACTCAGGTACCCTGAGTTTTCAGTTCTCGTTCTTCTAGACTGTGTCGCCTTGTCACAGCTCCCCCTGCCTCCCTGCCCCGCACGGACAGCTGACTGACTCACTTTAGACCCGTGGTTAGGTTAAGCCTTGACTCACTGCTGAAGGGAAGGGGGAGGTTGGGCAGGAGCGAGGAAGGAGCGGCAGGGCCCGGCACACAGGGGGTGTCTTTAGATGCTGGAGAAGACATGTCCTCGAGGATACTGAGCGAAACGTTAAAGTGAGGACTGTGGCTTGTCATCACTGCGAGGGCGAAGGCAGGCGCGAGGCGGCGGGGAGCGCTGATGGCTCGGACAGTCCCTCGCGGTGCTGCCAAGGGCCAGCTGGACCCAGGAGACCCTGCGTGCTCTCCGGAGCCAGGGGAGTGCTAGATGTCTGCAGCGGGCCGTTGTTGAAGGGATGGAAGAGACGGTCCTCAGGCTTCACTTGCAGGACACGTCTGGTTCTCGGCCTCTCTGGGGAGGAAGGGCTGCAGTGTGGCTCCTGGTAGGTGTACGTGTTCCTTCATTTGGGCCTTTTTTCCAGCTTAGGAAATTTGAAAAGCAAAATGCATGTAAGTTCTTGTTTACTCTGTATTATGGCTAAAATGTACAGCATAATTCAGCATGCCCGAACGTAAGTTACATTTTAATAACATGTTAATAACATTTTTACAATTTTTATTTAGTAACTTCCAGAAATATTCCGTAAGTGTCTCCTAGCATATTTAAGAGAAACTATTGTAAGTTTAGGTACTTTGTTTTCCTAAATTATATTGAAAACGTAGGCAAGCAACACCCGGTAAGGTAGGCAGTCGATGTTATAAGCAGGAAACAGTTAGTTACCGACCACGGCACTGGGCGCAGCGGGATCCCAAGAGTGTGCGTGTGGGCGAGAGCGCTTGTGTTGCAGAGTTGGCGCCCGGCCTCGGTGAGAAGAGCCCCAGTGGCAGCATCGCTCTTTAATTTCTGAAATGGTTTTGCGCTCAGGGCAGCAGTGCAAGTTACCCTCGGTCAAACTGCGGGAAATGCCGGAAAACGCCATAAAACCCACCCGTGCCGCTGTCCGTGGTGCTGGCGGAGGTCAGGCGCTCTGTTGCTCATTCGTGATGGTCTCAACCAAATGTTTGGATGTGATGGAAATATTTTATTAAATGAAATTAGTGGTAAAAAAAAAAAAAAAACACTTGGTTAGCAAATCATGTTTTTCTTTGTCATATTAGGTCATTAATTCAAAAGAAGAAAATTTGTTATTTAAACATATGTGTTGCCTGCATAGAAGGCTGCCAGAACATGAATAAACCGCCGTTATAGTAATGCGTAAGCCTGATTTTAGTTTATCCTTTTTCATTCAGATCCCTCATTCCTCCTCAAAAAAAGTAAATATATAAATAAAAATTTTTTGAGATCAGTCATAAGAATTAGATTAATTGGCTATATTTTATTTTTTTCTCCCTTTAATTCTTTCGTGATTAAAAAACAAAAATCAAAAGATAGGCAATAAGAACGAAGAAACAGTAACGATACTCAGGGAATTCATAGTCCAAAAAGCCAGAAAGCAAAGGTAGCTTTCCTTTAAAAAAAAAAGTCACCTACTTTCTGAGAATTATTGTACTTTTCGTACTTTTGTTTTTAAATGGTTTGACTAAGTCTAATGTGAAATAATTTAATGTCTGCTTATTTCCTGAAGAGTACATTATTGCAAAAGAAAATCAGCTTGATTTCTGAGTTTAATTTTAGCTACCAGTCTTCATCGGTCCTACTGTTTAACAAGAGGAATTTGGTGATTATAAAGCATGCACAAGTGCTTTCATTTTTCGCTGACAAATTTCATAGCAGGGAAACATTTGGCTTGTGAATTTTGACACCAGGTCAAGTACCTATTTCATTGTGAGTTCAAGGCCAATAGAATTTAAGAAATTGAGATTTGAAAAGTTTCTGAGAGGGAATGGCATTTTTAAGTGAATCATAAATAGGTAATGAATCATACCCATATTTTTAAGCATTTACCAAAGACATTATTGCAGTGATTTAAAAATTAATGTGTGTTTTTTTTGTTTGTTTTTAAGGAAATTCGAAATAGACTTATTTTTTAGAGAAGTTTTAGGTTCACCACATAATTGGGTGGAAAGCAGAGCACAGAGTTTCCGTGCCCTCTGTCGTCCTTTCCCCCAAAAAACGGTATTCATAACTGTTGACGAACCTCCACTGACATCGTAATCACCCAAAGTCCACCGTTTACGTTAGAGTTTGTTCTTGGTGATGTACATTCTGTGGTTTTTGACAAATGTGTAGTCACATGTATTCATTACAGTATCACACAGAATTGTTCTACTGCCCTAAACAGTCTTCTGCATCACCTCTTTATCCCTCCCTCTCTGTTACCCCTGGCAACTACTGATCCTTTAACTACTGATCCTTTTACTACCACCATAGTTTTGCCCTTTCCAGAATTTTATATAGTTGGAGTCATATGTTATGTGGCCTTTTCAGATTGGCTGCTTTTAACATGCGTCCAAGGTTCCTCCGTGTCTTTCCTGGCCAGGTAGCTTTTTTCTTTTTAGCACTGAATAATATCCTGTTGTTGGAAAGTACCATAGTTTATCCATCACTCACCGAAGTAATTACATTTTTAAAATACCTTTTCCATTTCATTTCTGATTATTTTTCCCCATAGAAAAATGACGAAGTAGGTAGATTTTTTTTAAACAGAAACAGATTTACAAATAACTTTAAAAAGGTTGCCCTTTTAAGGACATAAACAACACTACTTTTAAAAGAGCCAAATTTCAAAAAATAATTGTATTTTAGCATATTATTAGTCATTACTTTTGGTTTAAATTATTTTCAGATGTTACGTAGATTAAGTGGTAGTTTTGCCAAATATGTTAACGTTAGTTCTACAACTTGCCTTCTTAAATATGATCTTGCTCAAAATTCATCAATTCAGCTAAGTGAACCATTAGTAATGAAATCGTAGGTTACTCAGGCTTCTTTTGCTGATTTTGCTTTGATAGTAATTTTTTTAATAGTTGATTTATTCTTTAAATTAGTTCCCCACTTTTCTCTGCTCTCTTCACACATCATCTTGAAAGGCTCTTGCTGGCGGAAATTTTCTGGAATTCCTGTTTCTAGGATGATATTCTGCTTATCTGTTTCTACCTATTCAGTATGTACGAGAGTGGGAGAGACACTGACACTTTACCGTTCGTGTCGCCCATTTTGCTGTGCTGTTATTAATGGGCCGATGGCCTAGGACAGGATCAGAGACCATATATTTCAAAAATAGTTTTGTATAACTAATATTTTTGTAAGTGTCGTTTCATATAAAACTTTGAAAAAATATACCAGGAAGAATCTTCAATTCTCCAACAGGAAATGCTAGCATGCCTTTTATGATATAGCTTAGTAATAACGAACATTTCCTGAATGTTGTTTGTTGTCCTGAGTATGTTACATTTCTGCTTTACTCTCTACAACAGCCTTAGAAGGTGAGTAGATTCCGTGAAGAAGAGTCGAAAGCATGGGAGGTTAAGCTCAGGCTGCACAGCCAGGAGGCGCCACGCCCGGGGGTTGGATGCAGGTGGCGTGGGGCCAGCGCCCGAGCTGTCTTCAGGTCACAGGCAACAACCAGCTCTCTTAAAATTAAAAATCTTAGAGCTGGCAAAGATTTGAGAGATTATTTAAACCCCTTGTTTCTTAGTTGTGTTAACCAAGGCTTGGAGACAATGATTTCTCTAAGATGACACAATCCAGAATTTGGGCCTGTCTTTGATCATTTCACTAGGCCAGAAGTAGGCATTTTTCAAGATGAAGAGGGTTTGGGGATACTTTCTGTTATTAACTTTACTTCAGGAAAGTATTTCCACTAGCAGTTTGTTATTCACCGTCTCATTGATTATTGCTTTATCCAAAATGTGGTTGCCGGTAGGAATTTAACATTTTGGGTGGGATGGGGTTTGAGTACTGGAAAAGTTTAAATTATGAGTCAGTAGAGGAAGAAAAGTCAGATATAGATGTAGCATATTCCACATGTTGAGACTGAAACATTTCTTACAGCTTATGCATTTATCTCTTTATATTATCTCAGACTTTCCTAACTGCATAGACTAGGTACTCTGTATTTTTGCCTCGATAGCACCCAATACAGATATTTCTTATTGAACATAAGATCTGCCCTATTAGCTATCAGCTCCAAGAGAGCAGATACCAGATTTCTTCACGGTCCGCCCCGTGTCCTGCACAGGGCCTGTAGGTCGTAAGTGCTCGGTAACTGGTTGAGTTGAACTGGCTTGAATCCGTCCTTGTCACGTTGTCTCCCCTCCCCCACCCAGACACTCCTCCTCACGTAAGGACTACAGCACGGCATCCTTAATATTAGACATGAGGCCAAATCATTTTACAAATAAAACAGATTATGGAGGCGTCTTAGAGTCATGAGTTTAGATTTAAAATATGGAAGTAGCCTTCCCCGTAGACCTCATGTTCTTTTTTTAAAAAGTCAGAATAGCGTAAAGTACCATATGTGTACCCTTCATCTCGATTTCCATTAACATCTTACCACGTTTGCTTTTAATAGTCTTCCTCTGTATGTACGTATAAACTTTTCTGTACCATTTAAGTCACAGACTTGATGCTTTTTTTTATTCCTAAATATTTCAGTGAATATTTCCTAAAAACGGACAGTCTCTTATAGAACCAATACGAATATCACAGTCAGGAAGCTAACACTGAGTCCATCTTGTTATCTGTCTACAGATACTATTCAAATTTCACCCAGAAATGTCATTTATAGGAAAAAATAAACAGGGTCTTCGATCCAGTCCAGGACCCCTTGTTGCATTCTGTTGTCATGTCTCTTTGGTCTCATTTTTCCTTGTCTTTCATGACCTTGACATTCATGGATGTGCAAGTTGTTTACTTTGCAGAGGGTCCCTCATTTGGCGTTTGTGTATTATGTCCTCATGGTTAGATTTAGAGTATGTGTTTTCGGCGGGAATACCACACAAGTGGCACTGTGTCTTTTCAGCGTATTATATCGAGTCACATGATGCCTCCTGATTGTGTATGACTTTGATCACAAAGTGGTGTCTGCCCGTTTTCTCTGTTGTAAAGTTACTTCTCACCCCAGCCCCCACCCCAGATGAATACATGTCAGGTAGGGCGGTACCTTAAGACTATGGAAAGACTGTTTTCCCACCAAATTTTCAGCTAGAAGTTAAGCCCCCTTGATGATTCTTGACTGAAATGATTCTTACTTATGTTGACCGAATGGTTCTTTATCATAGAGTATCAGCTCCTGAATTAGCTGTTCACTCGAATGCTAAAGTAGCCATCAGGCTTGATTACATATATGTACTAACTCTGTTATTTATGGCCATTTTTTCTTTTGCCATATCTTTTTTTTAAGACTTAATTTTTTTAGAGCAGCTTTAGGGTCACAGCAAAATTAAGGGGAAGGTATATGAGAGAGCTCATATACCCCTGCCCACCCCCAGATGACTGCCTCCCCCATCATCAGCACCCCCACCAGAAGGGGGGCATTTGTTACAACTCATGAACCTATGTTGGTACACCATCGTCACCCCGAGTTCATAGTTTACCTGAGGGTCACTGCTGGTGCTGTGCATTCTGTGGGTTTGAACAAAGGTATAATGACACGTTCTCATAGAGTCTTTTCACAGCCCCCCAAATCATATCAGCCATCCCCGCCCCCTTACCTCCAAGCCCACCTCCGGCTCACGCGGCTTTCTCAGTTTGCCTATCTGTTGCCTGAGCCATTGTCAGGTTCGAAGTTAATAATTTGCCCTTTGTAAGACGTTCTTCTCTTTCTGACTGGATTTCGTGGTTAAGCACGTGCACTCGGTGCCGGGTTGTATAGGTTCAGAATCCGTATGTGCTGCTCACTGTCTGCATAACCTTGGACACGTGATAAAACCTGTCACTGTGTCACTTTGCCCACCTGTAGAGTGGGGACGGTAATGCTTACCTTATAGGGATACACGAGAAGCAAATGAATTAGCACGTAAAGTTATTAGACCCTCAGCCGATAACTGCAAAATTAATAAAAACAGCAGTTTGTTTTCATAAAGTATTTAACTGGAAATATTGATATTGGTCATTATTATGAATCAGTCCTTAATGTAGATGGTATCATTAATTATTTATGGTTTGGGAGGTCACACTCCAACGTTTATTTTTTTTATGTTGATTAATAAATTGGCAGAGAGGGTAACAGGTCAGGTGAATGCGGTCTAGCCATTGGGTATAGTATAGCATGGCACAAGAAATAATTTTATTTTAATACTTCGACACACACTCATTTTTGTTTTTCTATTTTAATTAGATTTTTGTAATTTTTAATGCTTATTTTTGAGGTGCCGACCAAAGGGCGGATCTGTACCTGGAAGGAAAAGACCAGCTCGGCGGTTGGTTCCAGTCTTCCTTGTTAACAAGCGTGGCGGTGAGGAAGAAAGCACCTTTTAAGTGAGTACACACCCGAGCTGACAAGTCACACCTGGGGCCTTCCGCCGGGCACCGGCCAGTGTGCGAAGCCCGGGCTGACTGGTGACGTATGTGGTAAAACGCCACCTCTGATTAGCTCACAGTCTCCAGTCTCATGAGAGAAAGGAGCTTGAAGGAAAGAGAGAAAAAGGGAGACAGCAGTACGGAGAGGTCTCGTCACTGATGCAGATCGTGACCCCCGGGGGAGGCAGCGTCGCTGACTGGAGGAGCCGGGAAACCCGAGAGACTGGACACGGGGGCGTGGAGAAGGGCAGCCTGGGTTGACGGAGGGCAGCTGGAGCGCGTGGTCCTGTCTGCAGATCCCCACGTGGCTAGTCGACGAACGTTCCTTTAGTGAATTTCATAAACATTCCTTATTTAGTTACAGAACTTGCTTTTCCTCATTCAAATATCTGGATAGAGGTCCTAATCAGAAAGATTCTTAAAGAGCTTAAGCTTTTTGCTGTCTTACAATGAAAACCCATTTCAGAATAATTTAAATGTTTGTTTCTTATATAACATGCTTTTATAAGCCAATAGAACAGTAGATTTCTCTCGAATTGTCTTTTTGAAGATAATTTTAAGGTGATAATCTGCTCTTAAGACATACTTTTTCTTGGTTAGTTTTAATGATCAAGATCAATACATAATAGATGCTCAGGAAATACTTGCTTAGTGAATGTAAACATCAAAAATTTTTCTGTATAAGTAGAGAGCTTACTATGTAACAATCATGAAGAATAGACTGCTGAGAATCGGACTTACAAGAAAAACTTTTATATGTAATCTGTCAAGAAAAATCCTATTTTTGTGTCAAATTAAGATACTCTCTTTCAGCCATAAATCATCTTCAAAAAGATCATTAGAGCTGTGTTTATGATAATAGCTGATTTATCTTCTTAGGACAGTGGTGGTTCATGGATTTACCCTCGGAGAAAAGGGAGAAAAGATGTCCAAGTCTCTTGGGAATGTCATCGATCCCGACGTCGTCATCAATGGAGGACAAGTAGGTGGTTCTCTAAAAATGTATTTTGTTTTGAGGCTCTTAAGTTGGCAGCCAAAACCTTAATGTAGTTAATTTAATGTAAAAAAAAAAAAACAACAAAAAAAAACAAAACCATTTTATATGACTAGCAGATGCCTTGCCATGTTTTAAAACTAGACTCTTAAGTAATATGTGATTATAAAAAAGGGAAGGGCTGGGATTGTGGCCCTTTCAACCTGACCGACGCTTCAGTTAGGTCTTGGCCCATGCCACCCCTTCTTTAATTGTCTGAGCTTTTAAAAGTTTGTAAACTGTAATTTTACAGTTAAAAGCAAACGGTATAAGAAAAATGAGATTGCAGCTTCTAAATGCATGTTTCATTATTCTTGAAAATTATACACTTTACAGCATGCCGTTAATGAACATCAAATCTGACGTTGCTGATAATTTGGTTTATTTTGAAGTTGTTTAAAGCACACGCACGCACGCGCGTGCCCGTTACTTTACTCCATTGGGTTTGTACTGCCCTCCTACTGTCCAGTAGTCATTTCTCCATGGACAGGGTTGGTGCGCAATAGTGAAAGGGAGAAGCAGCCCCCATCCCCGCTCCCCACATCACGGAGCTGTCAGGGAGTTCCCGGGGCGGATAGGGGGTACACCCGACATCAGGGAGTCCCCAGGGGCGGATAGGGGGCGCACTTGACCTCAGGGAGTCCCTAGGGGCAGATAGGGGGCACACCTGACATCAGGGAGTCCCCGCGGGCTGATGGGGGGCGCAGCTGACCTCAGGGAGTCCCCGGGGGCTGATGGGGGGCGCAGCTGACCTCAGGGAGCCCCTGGGGGCAGATAGGGGGCGCAGCTGACCTCAGGGAGTCCCCGCAGGCTGATGGGGGGCGCAGCTAACCTCAGGGAGTCCCCGCAGGCTGATGGGGGGCGCAGCTGACCTCAGGGAGTCCTCGCGGGCTGATGGGGGGGCGCAGCTGACCTCAGGGAGTCCCCATGGGCTTATGGGGGGCGCAGCTGACCTCAGGGAGTCCCCACGGGCTGATGGGGGCGCAGCTGACGCGCCCGGGGAGGCCGGAGCTGGCGCCTGCACAGTGGACGGCGTTGCGGAGTGCGCAGCCTGATTTCTGGGATTATAGCCCCGTTTCGTTACTGTGCCGGTATATTTTATGTTCACACACTTCTGAGTAGGAGTGCCTGAAAGATTTATTCACCTGGTTGGAACTGAAAGCCACTGATGTTTATGGTTTTTTCCTCAATGACAAGGACCCAAACAGAGAGCCTCCTTACGGTGCTGACGTCCTTCGCTGGTGGGTGGCCGAGTCCAACGTCTTCACGGAAGTGACCATTAGTTCTTCTGTGCTTAACGCTGCCAGAGATGATATCAGCAAGGTAGTCATCACTCTATTTCTGAATGAAAAGTTCATTTAATCGCTAAAAATGAAAAAGGCACTTATTTTGACACTGCAGAACTGAATGAAAATGAGTCCCTAC